CATCTGTTTACAACACAGTTTACTGAATATTTTAAGCCCACTGTTGAGACCTACTGCTCAGAAAAAAAGATTCAAGATATCAGTGCTCACTGACAACGTGCCTGGTCACCCAAGAGCTCTGATGAACAACATGGTTAATGTTGTTTTCGTGTCTGCTAACACAATACCCATTCTGCTGCCCATGGATCAAGTAATCATTTTGACTTTCAAGTCTTATTATTTAAGAAATACATTTCATAAGGCTACTGCTGCCCTTGGTAAACCTTCATCAGTCAGCAGCCATCAACATCGAGCCAATATCTTCTACCAGCAAAAAGAGTGTAACTCACTGAGAGCTCAGATGATGGTTAGCCTGTTTTAGAAATAACGTACTTTTATCTTATTCACTTTTAAAATATAATTTATTCTCAAATTAGCTAACACACAGTGGATACAGTGTGCTCTTGGCTTTGGGAGATAAAGTACTTTTAAATTAAGGCATGTAAGGGGCGCCTGGGTGGCTCAGTCAGTTGAGCGTCTGACTTCACCTCGGGTTATGATCTCACAGTCCGTGAGCTCGAGCCCCACGTCAGGCTCTGTGTTGACAGCTCGGAGCCTGGACCTGTGCTTCGGATTCTGTGTCTCCCTCTCTCTGCCTCTCCCCCTATTCACACTCTCTCTCAAAAGTAAATAAACACTGAAAAAAATTTTTAAGAAAATTAAGGCACGTAACTTTGTTTTTTTAAGACATAATGCTATTGCACACTTGACAGACTGCAGTGTAAACATAAATTTTACATGCACTAGGAAACCAAAAAATTCACTTGACTTGCTTTACTGTGCTAATGACTTTATTGTGGTGGTCTGCAACTACAACCACAATATGTGTGAGGTGTGCCTGTGTCTCCACCCCAGCACCTGTAACTGGGCACCATAGCTCTTAACCATTCTCTGCCTTGTTTGCTCTACTCCAAACATGCTGGCCTCTTTGCTGCTGATCCCAAACACCAGGCACACCCCAGCCTCAGGGGCTTCAGATGGCTGTTCCCTCTGCCTGGAATGCTCTCCAGCACCCATATTCACATAGCTCATTCCTTCATCACTTTTACATTCTTAGAATATCATCCTCTCAGTGAGCTTACGCTAAGCACTTTATTCAACACTGCAGCTCCTTATGCCCCAACAAATCCATTTTACCCTCATTTATGTTTTCCCCATGGAAGATATCACCTGGTAATAAACTGCAATTTACTGATTTGTTATATTCAGTCTCCACCCACTAGAAAGTAAATACTATCAAGGGAAGAAGCATTTCTGTTCTGTTCTCTGCTATATCTCCAGCACCTAGAACAGTGTCTAGAACCTAGTAGGTACCCAACATATATTTGTTGAATGAAGAAATGAAGAACAGAAATTATCATCAATATACAGAAGAACAGATAAAACCAAAAGCTTGGTTTAACAAGATTGATCCAAAAATAAAAGATGAAAAGCATTAACAATTAATAATGACAAGGGGAATATAATAGTTTTTAAATACACAAGAGAATAATAAAACTAATGGTATTATAAACACTAGTATTTATTAAGTGCATATTCATGCCAGATGCTGTTCTAAAAGTTTTACATGTTTTCATTTAATTTTTATTCCACGCCTGTGAGGCAATTACTATTATTCTGCCCATTTTACATGTAAGAAAACTAGGCACAAGGTCACATAACCAGCCATCCCTGCAGCCAGGATTCCAACCCACACCCTCTGACTCCAGAACCTGTACTCTATTTTCATATAGAGATATTATGACTAATTTAATATGTATAATCTCAGACCAAAAAAAGATGTGTCCTAGAAAAATAGAGAAGATACAGAAAATCTAAAACTTACACCATTAGAAAAACTGAATCAGGAGTCAAAAATCTACCAACAAGACAGCAGGGCAAAGCTTTTATAGGCAAATTCTACAAAATCATCAAATAATCTCCAATTTATTCATACTATTTCAGAGAATTGAAAAAGAGGGAAAACTGCCTAACTCATTTTATGAGACCCTTATATAATCTGATACTAAAATTGAACGAGGGCAATGGAAAACAGAAAAAAAAAATCGTAGACAATTCTCACTTATGATCACAAATGCAAAAATTCTATTAACATGTTAGCATACCAAACAGAGCAATTTATTTAAAATAATCACAATCAGGGGCGCCTGGGTGGCTCAGTCAGTTAAGCATCCAACT